GCCAGGGAGGGCCYCAGGGAAGGTGGCACTGGGTCAAATCAGGAAAGGTAAGGCTGAGAGCCCTGGGATGTTCCCGGAAGAGCGTCCCAGGCAGGAACAGCTGGGGCAGAGGCCCCGGGTAGCTGGGTCTGAGGCATTGAAGAACCAGGAAAGGCTGGGGGGGGGGAAGGGGCAGGGACAGGAGCAGGCAGGGGTAGGGGTGGGTAGGGCAGGGGTGGGGTTGGGCAAGGAGAAGGGCAGGAGCTGGGGAGGAAGGGGGARGGGCAGGAGCAGGAACCAGCAGGGCAGGGGCCCGAACAGGAGTGAGCAGGGACAGGGCGGGCAGGGGCCGGGGCAGTCATGTACAGGGGTGAGGTTGGGCAGGGGCAGGGGCCTGGGGCCCTGGGGACCTCTCYGAGGACTTGACAATACCCAGTCAGGTCCAGCTGCATGTGGGCAGCAGGTAGGCATTGGAGGCCATCAGGCTGCAAGGGGTGTGGCCCCCAGGATACAGGCAGAGAACCCCCAGGACCTCAGGATAGCCAAGCAGCTAGGAGGAGCCGCAGGGTGCCAAGGCAAAGCAGGGACAGGCCCCAGGGCCCAGGGCCCACGGACCCTAGGAGGTGCCTGTGACCACCATCCATGAGGACATGCTGAAGGAGAATGCCGAGCCCTGGCCCTGGAGAAGGACTTCCGATCCCTGAGGGTGGGCGTGCAGGACTCGAGGGCCAGGAGGAGCCAGAGGGTGTGATGGGCCCCAGCAGCTGCGATGGCAGCTGTTTCTCAGGGAACAATGGGCCGCCCCRACTCGCGCTCCCAAGCAGGCCTCTCACAGGGCTGGGAGAGCTGAGGGACCCCTGTGTTAATCGATTACTCCACAGCGTCCAGTCCTGCCAGGGCCTGCCTGCCTGAGGACGCCCAGGCCACAGGGCTGGAGTGGGCTCTTTGGAACAGCACTCGGCCCAGGGAGGAAGCCAGGCCTGGCCAAGGGCCCGGCCAAGGGCCMGGCCAGAGGAAGGCCACAGCCCTGGGAGGCGCCCAAGGGCCTGGGGAGAGGACAGGCCAGCTGAGGCCAGTGCAGAGAGAGAAAAGCAGATGGGACGGAGTGTCTCCTCCTGCCCTGTGCGAGTGACGCCTGGGAGGAGAGAGAGCACGTAGATTTCTAACTCGGCCTGCGGTGGGGACAGAGGCCTCTAGAGACAGAACCCTACAGTGGGGACCTGACACTCTCCCTTCCTCYCACAGCCTTACAGAGGGACAGACTGAGGCCCTGCCCCCTGGTCAGTGAGTGGCCTCAGCACCAGCGACAGCTGTGTCCATAGGGCTCCCAGGCTGTTCCCTGGAATCCACACGTGGAGGCCAGGCTGGGAGGGCAGGCGGGAGAGGTGAGGCAGGGTGGCCCAGGATGGAGGAGGAGGAGAACAGAGGGCTTGGGCGGAGGAGAAGACCAGCCAGGTGGGCCAGGAAGACGGCTCCATGGGAGGCAGGCCTCAGGTGGGCCCAGGACCCTATCACCTGTGCCTGGGACATTCTGCTGTAATGCTCCAAGGGCTGCAGCTGGAGGGCACAGGACCCAGGCCACATGGTGTGCTCAGCCAGCTTCAGCTCCCAGCTCCTGCCCCAGCCCGCTGCCCTCCTGGCTCCCTGTGCAGGACCACCCAGGAGTAGGAGGACAGGACCCTGGGGGCTTGCCCTGGGCAGAGGCCGGGAGACCTCAGGGCCTAGATAGCAGATGCCAGGGTCCTACCCTGGGGGACAGGCTGTGCCCTGAGGGAGAAGGGGCAACCGGAGCCCTCGGGAATGGAGGTGAGGCCAGGGCCTGGGGAGGGGGCTTCGGGCAGATGTGAGGGAGCACTCATCTGTGACTTCTCTGGGGATACTCTGTTGCTTTTGTTTTTTTAATGATTCTGKAATGTCCCTGCTCCTCAAATATTTCCCAGGCTCACAAGCCAGTCTTCAGGAGGAGAGTGAGACCCTCTCTGTGGGGACAAGGTGGCCTCGGGCTCAGTGGAGCAGTCTGCGCGCAGTTTTACTCTGAATTCGGGTGCTCAGGCAGCACAAGGCAGTCTGGGGACTCAGGGGGACSCTGCCAGTCGGGGGCTTCGGGGTCACAGGGCCATTGCTTGTACTCCCAGGACTGACACCCTCCCAGTGAAGCCTGGTGGGGTCCCCTGCTCGAGTGACACTGGAGGCTCTGTCTGGGTGTTTCCTCGCCAGCCTGGGTTGGGCGTCCAGCCAGGGAGCACCACTTAGCTACCCCTACCCTGCCTGACCCCAGGAAGGAGCTCTAAGGGAGGTTCGGAGGGTGGGTAGGGAGGGCTTCATCAGAACAGCCCGTCAGGTCCTCCTGGGACCAGGAYCTCTGAGCCTGCCAGAAGGGGGCCAGGGCCTCCAGCCAGCTGCTGCCCTCAGGCTTGGCTCCCGTCCAGGTCTGTCCTCAAAGGCAGGACKGCAGCCCCAACAGATGGCACCAGCCCTGAGCTGCGGGTCTGCCRGGGTGGGGGGGCATGCCTGGTGGGATGCGGAGGACGTCCTACCCTGCTGCCCCGCGGGTGGCCACACAGCCCTTTCCCTCTCAGGGCACTAGCCTCCACCTTGAGTTTGAAGACACCGCAGCCCTCTGTGAGCTGGGCAACCCCAAATCCAAACATGCTGCCCGCTCCAGGAGCCAGTGGTCCCACTGCGTGTTCCAGGAACCCCCTTGGTGGTCCACGAGAGGTCTGTGGTGACATTAAGAATAAGCACTGGCCATTGGCAGGGTGAACAAGACAAGGCTTGTCCACTCAGAAAAACACGGGCTGTAAAAGGGATGAAATTGTGATGCCTGCCACACCAGGGTGGACCTTGTCCTTGTGCYCAACAGAGAAGGACAGACGCATCACACAGTCTACGCACAGGTGTCTAGAAGAGGCACGATTAGGGGCAGAGGGCAGTGTGGCCTTGCTGAGGTGGGGAGAGAAGGGGACCACTATTGAGCGGGCACAGTTCTTGTTTCTGATGACCAGGGTTGGAGAGAAGATGATCACACRCCACGTGAATGTCCTGACTGCTCCTGAGACACAGTTACAGATGGCTCAACTGGGGCTGGGCTGGGGCTCTGCCGTGAGTACTTGCCCAGCACATGGGGGGCACTGGGATCCGTCCTCAGCACCACATAAAGACAAAKAAATAAACAAAGGTGTTGTGTCCATCTACAACGAAAAATATATATTTTTAAAACAAATGGCTCAACTGACATGATCTCATGTGTATTTATTTTACCATGATAGAAGTTTTTAAAAAAGACTATGCACCCCAATAAACTTGAGAGACACTGAGTCACAAAGTTAAGTGAGCGTCCTGTGGTGGGAATTTGGGGGGCCTTACAAAGGGGATGCTTTGCTCTGTGGGACCCCATGAGAAAGCTCGGAACCCTGTGTTCTCAGCAGGCGTCCCCCTCAGTGCTCCTCCCCAGAGCTCTGGGGGGGCCTCCTGGGCACCTGGACGAGGCACCGAAACTTCCTCCAACACTTGCCCTGATTCTAAATGTTAGAATAAAGGTCATAGCTATCCCAAAGTGTTCCTAAAAACTTGCTTTTTTGTTCTGTCTTCTCCAAAAATAGAAATTTCTCCATTTGGGGATTTGGCAATATTTTTAGTTCTTTATTTAAAAAAATAAAAAGTGTGTGATAATGTGTGTATGTGTGTGTGAGAGAGAGAGAGAGAGAGAGAGTGTGTGTGTGTGTGTGTGTGTGTGTGTGTGTGTGTGTGTGTGTGTGAGCATACACATGTGTACAAGAGGACTTCTCCAGAAGCTTCTGGTCTCAAGGCTGGAGGTGAAGCTGGCCTGCTGCCTGCCCAGGGACTGTGGAGGTGCCAGGCAGGGGTCTGGCCTGCGGGTGTGGCCCAAGGCACACTCTGTCTGCTCCTCCTCCCCTCTGCTGCCCCTCTGCTGCTCTGGTGCCACTTGTTGCCTGGGACACCCAACTCTTCCGGAGCCCCAGCAGCTTGCCCGGCTGGCCGTTCTGGCTGCTCCTCACCTGCCCACTGGCCACCACCGCTCACAGGCCTGGGTTCAGTGGTGACTAGGGAGGGTGTCAGAATGAAGGACAGGCTTTGAACACCAACTGGGGGCCAACTTGGGACTGGGTGCTGCCCAGAAGTGAGCTCAGGGATGGGAACATGCCACGAGCCCCAGGTTCCCTGCTCTGTGGGTGTGGATGCTTACCAAAGTGCGTCAGCAGAACCCTCCACACACCTCTGTCCTGCTGGGTGCTTCGGCAGAGAGCTTCGGGTCCCCTCAAGCAGACAGGGCAGAGAGGGACGGTCACCAGCAGAGGGGTGGTGACACTCTGGGAGTCCAAGCCAGAGCTGTGGGAGGCCAGTCCCCAGTCCTGAGGGCTCTGGGTGGGTGCCCACCTGCTTCCCTCGGGAGTGGGGGTAGACATGTTTTTGTTTATATGAGAAAAGGAAGGATGATCCTTAGGTCCTGGGCCTTGGTCACTGCTGTGGGGTCAGGCAGGGCTTCTCTGTCCTTCCCAGAGCCAGGGAGCTGGTTGGGYCGGAGGTTGAGGCACTGGGCCGGGGCAGGGGCCTCATAAACAACTTGCCCTGGCCTGGGGGACCAGGGACAGAGACAGGAGGCAGCCCCATAGCCGCCCATGGGCCTTTGACCACGTCCCTATGGTGGGACCTCAGGAGCCATGAGACCAGCTCAAGGCCACGCTGAGCAGTGGCCTACAGCATGGGAGGGTCCAGCAGCAGGGGGCCCCTGGAAGAGCTACCGCAGGGGGCTGCAGGACACAGCTGCAGGGGCAGGGCCTGAGCCCACCCCGCACTCTGGATAACCAGGAGGCTCCTGAGCAGGGTGACTGTCCCCTGTAGAGATCAGTTCTCAAAGCCCAGCTGCGGAAAGCAGAGCGTCCCTCCCACACGTCTCCCTCCCACTTCTACAAGGCCACCTGCCGGGCTCCTCTCTCTCAGGGTTTGGATGAATGAAGCATTTGGTGATGTTTGTGGAAGAAAGGAAACCCCCAAGTGAGTGAGCTCCATAGTTTCCATCCTTTAATTCACCATCCAAGAGCAAAAACCCAAGCCGCTTCCCAAGGTGCGCTGGAGGGCTGGGGATGCAGCTCAGTGGTCTCGTCCAAGTTCCAGCCCCAGTCCCCAGACAAAACCAGACACGAGGTCCTTCTGAGAACTTGGAGATGAATGGACCCATCTTTTCCCTTAGGACTTCTTACTACATCCGGGATCAGACCCGCGTCCATGGGTCTCTGAAAGTCAGTACTTACCCATTGGGGTTCCCTGGGGAGGCTGGCTCAGGGGAGGCAGTCTGTTGGTTCCCAGGGACCAGCAGGGGGACCCAGAGGAAGGTGAGACCTGCAGGGCACTGGGCAGGGCCCTCTGTGCCTCCCTGGGGCCAGGCTGCAGAAGGCACCAGGCTGTGGGCATGGGCGAGGACCTGGGGACAGTCCCTTGGGTCTGGCTCTGAGAGACCAGGCTGCATGTCACCTGGCTGCTGGCAATGGCCCTCTGTGGTCAGGAAGCTGCCTAGGAGGAGGGAGACCGGTGGAGCCTTTGTGCAGCCCCTGGCAGGTAAATGTGGCTGACCACTGCAGTCACCTGTCTGACCACTGCAGTCACCTGACTGGAGTCTGCCCAGGACCAGCTCAGCCCTGGGGCAAAAAGGGCCATGAGTGGCTACAGCTCCCTACAGAGCTCTGTGGCCCCTGGGACTCACCCAGGAGCACCCTCCCCCGGCCTGGGGGAGGGCAAACAGTGAGAGTGGAGTCACCTGGGTAAGACTGGGACACAGGGGGTGTCAAGGTACGGGCACAGAGCACGCAGAGGCAGCCACCTGCTCCTGGACGCAGCCCTCTCTCTAGGACCTTCCAAGCCCCCCAGGGCAGCCCAGCATTGGGGGCTGTGAAGCTGGCCTTCAGGGGCAGCTCACTCTCAAGGCGCTCCTTCCTGGCCTTGGGGTTGGGGGCAGGAGGCTAGTGTGTGCACAGGTGGGCTGCTCGTGGACACACCCACAGAGGCCCTGTGGGCTCCAGAGACRGCCCTCGACCCTATGGCCTGTGTCTGATGACCCAGAGCAGATGTGCACACACACACCACAGATGCTGAGGCCAAGTCCTCAGCCAACTAGAAATGCCCCTGGAGGCCCAGGGAGTAGCTGGACTTCAGTGAGGGTCAGCCAGCGTGGCTGCATGCCACTGCCCCTGGCCCCACCTCCCCTGGGCAGTMCTTTCCTATATCGCACCTCAGTTTCCTCCTTGCGGTGGGCTTTCACTGTCTGGTCTCAGGCCACCCAAGGAGTGTGGACTGGGCCTGGCAATAGGACCAGGAACGGTTTTCGAGTACAGGGTCCTAAGTGAGGCCATCCTGATCTGAGGACGGCACTGTCACAGATTGGCTGGTCTCCTGGGCTCAGTCTCTAGCAAAGGACCCTCTGAAGGTTGCGAGGCAGAAGTGTGGGGCTCCTCACCCGGGTCAGGCCTCCTGCCCTCCTGACACACCTGGCCAAGGCCACGTGGGTCCTCTGCCCTCATGCTCCCCACCCTCGGGCCCTCCACCTTCAGATGAGGCCACCCTGTCCCCAGCTTCCCAGCCACAGAATCCGCTGGGCACAGCAGGAGTGTGCTTTACACGTCGGGCTTTTACTTCAATTTGAAGCAGATGGTTGAACACATGTGAGCAGCTTTGGCCTGTGAGCTCAAGAGGGCACTGGCCCCGGCCTAGGTGCCCTCCCTACGCGGCCATCGCCTGGTCCYGTCGTCCTCCCCCTCCCATCTGGTCTGCCACAGACCACCAGCCTCTGCAGGCCGCTACTCGTTGCATCAAGGAAGCCTGGGGAGATGGCAGGGCCACCAGCGTGCATGTCCCCTGGGCAGGTGGCCTTGGGCGAGTGCCCGGCTAGAGCATGCCACCTCTCCCCAGCCACTCCTCAGGGCCAGAGTCTGGGTGGCCAGGGTAGGGCAGCAAGGGAAGGGACCTTGGCCCCTTCCCTGCCTCCCTCCCAGGCCCAAGAAGGCTTCTCCTGAACTCGCCAGCCCAGGGCCCTGTGTGGATGGCACTGGCTCTGAGGGCCAAGTGCTCTCGAGGGTCACCCTGTCCCTCTGTTTCTCAGGCTCCCGGTGGAATTGCTGGCTCATCTTTGGCTTGAGACAGGTGGGCTCTGGCAACAGGAGGGACGAAGGCCACAGAGCCACAATGTGGCCTTTGGCTGCTGGGCTTCAGCCCCTTGTGCTCGGTGTCTCTGTTGAATCTTTGGCAATGAACTTTTGCAGCCACGAAGAGCCTCCGGACCTGAGCGGGAGGAAGACTGGGCCTCCCACAGGCAGAGGGCAAAGTGCACTGTGACCGCCAGGCAGAGGGCAGGAGGGCGGGGCAGGCTGCCCAGCCTGGACAGCCCCGAGGGGCGTGGGGGCCGACCCGGAGCATCCTGCAGAGGGATGAGGTTGGCTTGGTGTGTCCACCTTCTCCTCACCCTGGGAAGAGGCCACCACGGTGTCCCAGCTGGTCTGCAGCCAGTCACTCCTGGAAAACACAACCAGCGGTCAGAAGTGCCTCCCTGACCCCACGCCAGGTGCTCAGGCCTCCCGTGGCTGGGCCAGGGACTGCTCCACGGGGTAAATGGGGAGCCTCCAGCACCCACCTCGTGCTCTCCCCACTCTGGCCTGGCAGCCCTGAATGCAGCATACTGGTCTGGGTGAAGGGAGCCAGAGCCCAGAGCCCCAGGGATCAGGCTGTGCTGACCAGGATCCCCAGGACACGCCTCCACGGTGCCTGAGTGGGGCCGTGCCTGCTGCCCAGTGGGGCTCCCCTGCAGGCCCCACGGGAATGGCCAGGGGCTCCTCCCACACTGTTCATGCAGGAGCCCCCACAGGGGTCAGAAGACCCACCAGGGGTGGTCAGCTTGTGATCTCACACACTTCCTATCTCAGAGCACGTCTCCCCCTCTGTCAGACGGCACAGCTGGGGCAGATCAATACCCCCCAGCTTTCTTCTGARCAGGAGAAACGAGGTCTAGTCTGTGGAGCCCTAACCTGGGGACAGGCCCAGAGCTCATGGGCCCTCCAGGGAGGAGCCAGGGGCACCTGAGAGCCGGCAGCCCTGACCTCCGGCTCTCCTCTCTGCAGCTGGACTTAGCACTGTCAGGTGCCTCATCACCAAGAAGGGACAGGAGGAGGGGTCTGGGCTGTAGCCTCTGGGGAGGCCAGGGACAGCAGGAGGCTCTGCCAGACTCCAAATCCACCTGGAACCCAGAGAGAACAGCATGCCCGGGAAAGCTGCAGGAGACGTCTTGCCACAGCCCTGAGCACAGGCCACGTGCCTGTGGGCAGAGCCTCTGCACAGCCACGTGGCCGCTTCTCAGGGCCCTCAGGTGGCACCGCTGGCTCTGGCGGAGGTGCCGGCCTGGCAGCACCAGGACTCAACCCTGATGGGCACTTGGGCTGCCCTGCTGCAAGAAGGCCGCGAGCACAGGAGGAGCCGCTCACCACAGACCCTGGACAGCCTCGTGGAACCTGCAGGCCACAGCCAAGCCGGGGCCCAGGAGCCACGCGAGGCTGGGCCGGGCGAGAGCCAGGGGGTGGAGGGGCAGCGGGAGGGCAGCGGTGGCTGAGGCTCCTGGCTGGCCCCGCAGGACTCTGCTTTCTGATTCCCTGTCTGAGGGGGAGGATCAGGAAGCGGAAGGGAGACCCGCGGGGATGGCCCTGGTCTGTGCTCCACGGGAGATTCGCAGCTGGCTGCCTGGGCGGGCTCCCCTGCGTGCGGTTCYAGCCGCCTGTGGTCTGGGGAGGAGTGGAAGGCTGGCCGGCTGGAGCCGGGCGCCAGCCGCAAGCCCTGGTGGCGCAGACCCCGCTGCAGCCAGGCTCCACCCGTGAGGGAAGGCGGCCAGCCTCGKCTGTCCGCCCAGGGCCCACCCTCTCTCTGGTGTCTGCGTTGGACCTGCCTGGCCAGCTCCTGCTTCCACCAGGAACCAGCACAATGTCCACCCAGGGAATCTGAGGTCAACTGAGGCATGACAGCAAGAGCACGCAAGGCCTCAACCCCAGGACCTTCTCTGCAATTAACAATTAACCTGCTGCGTGACCTCGGGTAACCCACTCCCCTTCTCTGTGCATTAATGCCCTTCTTGCACAGCTGGAGGGGGTGGGAGGGTGAACTGCAGATCGCCAGCCAGGGGGCATCCCACGCGTCTGGGCACTACGGACCTCGGCCCATCTTGGGAGGTCACCAGGCAGAATATCATAGGGAAGGCTCTGGAAAGTCCTGCAGTGAGGACAGGCAGGAAAGTGCTCTTCAGGACACGGTCCTGCTGCTAAAGTCAACTGTCAGCCACCGMATGGCTGAGCATGGACCCCGGCCAGCCAAGCGATGGGTCTTCACCCGGGAAAGCCTGGACCYGCCTGCGCACTGGAGCATTCTGCACGCTGTGCGCTGTCCCTGTCCTGCTGATCCCTCACCACCGTGGGCTCGCTCAGGTGGGGCGTASATGTGCTGCTCCCCTCCACCTGGTCTGTGCATCGCAGGCAATTCCACCACTTTGTGGGCATTTAAAAACCAGCTGTCCTGTCTCCCATGTGATGTGAMCTGTCCCCTGTCCGCTCCACCCACCTCAATCTGGAGTCAGCCTGTGTATGCTGGAAAATACCCGGGGCCAGAAACCCTGAGTCGTCTTCTTTTTTTTAATGGGTTTGTTCCAAAGGAGCAGTCAGATCTCAAAGGAGGTCTTACAATTAAAACCCAATAGAAAAGCAGGGAGGGCGTGGGGACGGCTCGGGAGCACTGAAGGTCCTTCCACCTCCACCTCAGCACAGCCACAAGTGGGCCACAGAGAGGTTCAGGTTGGTGCTGAATGCCGCTCGTGGTCCATGAGGCAGCTKCGGGGCCCTGGGCAGGCTGCTGGCCTCTCCAACCAAGCCTGGTTTCTCATGTTTAAAACAGGCCCGGCAGGAGTGCTCCCTGGTCAGCGGCAAATACATCTACCATGGTCAAGTCACACCATGGTGTGACTCGATGTGGGGGCCTGGTGTGCCGTGAAGCAGAGAACTGGACCCTCCTCCACCAGTTGGCTTTCAACCAAGTCTTTTTAAAAACATGAATACAGCTTTAACCCAGGTGCGGTGGCCACACCTTTAATCCCAGCAGCTCAGGAGGCTGAGGCAGGAGGTTTGAGAGTTCAAAGCCAGCCTTGGCAACTCAGCCAGACCCTGTCTCAAAATAAAAATATAAAAAGGGCCAGGGACGTGGCTCAGTGATTAAGCACCTCTGGGTTCAATCCCGAGTACCAAATAAATAAAACACACAGTTTTAAAAAGGACGCAGGTGGTACCCAGGAACCCACGAGTAAGTAAGCAAGATGTGGCACGGTCACCCCAGGGAAGTGCTGAGAYGCACCTCAGCGTGGGTGAGCTATGAACAGTGTGCAGAGCAGAGGCAGCCCCGTCCCCATGGAGGGTCCCCACCTGGGACGTGCCCACCAGTGAAACTCCTCACTTACTGAGGCCAAGGCAYGTAGCCAAAGCTCAGGGTCAGGTGACAGAGGAGCAACCTAGCTGGAGGTCCAAATGCCACTCAGATGGGGCTGGGGCTGAGGGTCAGTAGCTGCAACCTTCTGTGCTGAGATGCGGCCACTGAGCACCCACACTTCCCACGCTGTCCCGGAGCCTGACTGGAGGCCCTGCCCACAGGCATGTGGTGAGGTCCCTGCTGTCCCCAGCCAGGACGGTGAGGGCCTGCTCCAGCCCAACCCCCAGCTCCTGCTGGAGAGCACTGTCCTGGTCCCCCCCCATGGCCCCCCCTGCTGAAGTACTGTGCTATGACTAGCAGTCCTCCCGCCTGCCCCCCCATGCCCCCAAGGTCCTCCCAGGGCCCAGGGACAGAGTGAGTGGGTAGTGCTCAGAGCTGCCACTTCTTGAGGACGCCACGCTCACTTGCTGGCTCACGCTGACCTACAGGGTCCCTTGGCAGGCCGCAGAGGCAGGCCCAGCCCTCTGCTGGCCACACGGGCAGCCAGGGGATGAGGGTAAGTCTGGTATCTGCTGTGTAGGTCACCAGAGGGGAGGGCACGTCCCCCCCCCCCCCCCCCCCCCCCGCCCCCCCCCCCCCCCGCAGCCCCCTCCAGGGCTGGCCAGCAGCTGTTCCTGGAACCTCCTCTACCCGGAAGGCTGCACCTGAGGCCACCGGACCCCGACAGGACAGCCCAGAGGCTCGGGCCAGGCCTTCAAGAGAGGAGACAAAGGGTGGCCGTGCCCAGCCCTGTGACTCTGGTGACCTCAACACTTCTCCTGCCCCTGGTAACTAGCATGCCCAGGAGGTGTGGCCCGAGAAAACGACAGGCGTGGGCACTCTGCAGTCTGTGTGCAGAGGCCAGACCTGGCCACCTGATCCTGTGACCTTGACACAGGCAATGAGAGAAGGCTGGTGAGGACTGAGCGGCTGGCAGGGGGGAAAGACCACCACCTGTTGTATCAGGGCCACCCTCGGGGGTGAGCTTCGTGGCTGCTTTACCTGCTCTCCTGGGCTGTTTCTTTCAAATTCAAGGGCAGCATCCCTTCTTCAGGGAAGACCAGGAATATCTGTGCAGGACTCATGCCCTGGAGAAAGGAAATGCTCCTCCAGCAAGGCCCCACCGTGATTCTGGATGTCCCTGGAGGATGAAGGCCCCAGTACTTTGGCAGCCACTGTGCAGTCACAAGGCAGAGCAGGAGAGGCCTGAAGCCTCAGAGCTCAGGGTGAAGCCTCTCCCTTCAGGTTTCTGAACCATGAGGTGTGTGGGCCCCCAGTAGACTCAGCTGGTGCTCAGGGTTTGTTATTTGAAACAGGTTTTTCTTGCTAATTCAAAGGAACAAGGGACAAGCAGGGGGCCTGGGGACTTTTTGGCTGGGTGACGCCCCTAACAATCCCCTACAGCCTTGCCTTCAGCACAGGGATCAGGAGCTGCAGTGGGAGGACAGGGGTCACTGGTGCACTGAGCCACCAGCAGGCAGTACCGTGGAACAGGCCACGTGAGAATCCCAGGACAATGTCAGAACCCACAGTGAGCTCTGGGAGAGAGGGTGTCATAGCACACACACGCCACCCCACACGTCCCTCCTACTGGGGCCCGTCGGACCCTGTGCCCACCACAGGTCCCCCCACTGGACATCTGTGCTGACCTCAAGTCCCCCTGCTGGACCCTGCACACCCCTGTGCCGACCCCAATTCCCCCTTGCTGGATCCCTGTGCCAACCCCAAGTCCCCCCACTGGACCCTGTGCCGACCCCAAGTCCTCCTGCTGGATGCCTGTGCTGACCCCAGTCCTCCCTAGTGGACCCACACACCCCTGTGCTGACTCCAAGTCCCCCTGTTGTACCCCATACACCCCTATGATGACCTCAAGTCCCCCCTGCTGGACCCCTGTGGTGACCCCAAGTCCCCCCCCGCTGGACCTCACACACCCCTATGCTGACCCCAAGTCCCCCCAGCTGGACCTCACACACCCGTGTGCTGACCCCAAGTCCCCCCCCTGCTGGACCCCTGTGCCAACCCCA